ACTAGCTTAGCAGCTACATTATCTGCTTATTTACAAATTTAGGGGGGAAAAATAAAAATAATTCAGCTACACTACTAAAATTAACTGAAAGAGCTTAATTACGGAAGTTTGATTACTTTAAGAAGCAATTAACAGATGCATCAGTGAAGAAACCTTGTGATACAAGGCAGATGAATCAGTTAATGTTTAATAACAGGTGATCTTTTGTAACAGCTAAACACTATAAAAATCAGGTTCCAATAATAAACAAACAACTATGCATAAACAATATTTTCGTGTCATTCTCTTGCCATGATTTGTGGCTGATGATGAGATAGAACCCTAAGTAATACACAATTATAGGTTCACAGATCCCAATAGAGGGGTAGAATGGGGCCACTTAATGCTGTGTACACAACTGGCAATTCAGTCCAACCTAGCACAATCAGAAGACTCTTCCCGCACCAATAGTTATGAAAATTACTTTAACACCCCTCTTTTTCTGCTCCTGGGTGCTGCGATCATAGCAGGAGGAATGTGTCCTGCCATCAATCGCCCAAAAGTCATCTCTAGTGTTTAAGCGTGCAGCTGGGAGAAATAAGGAAGGCAGCATCATCTGTTTTCCTTCTATGCACTGGAGCTCTCCTGAAGAGTCAAGGCTCAATCATCCTTGAGTGAGCAGCATCCACAAAACATATTCCTCCCCCACCCCCAGTAATCTTTCTTTGTACTTCCTCCTTGTTTGCTCAGAGGTTAGTTTCTCTCAATATGGACTTCAAGCAGTGACAGTCTAGATTCAAGTGACCTCAACTGAGATACGGTATAGGTCAGAAAATGTGGTACTTGTATATTAATATGAACATTTTAAATTTTAAATGTACAGTATTTTTTCTTCCCCAGTTGCAGTGATAGCATAAGTAATGAACATAAAACTAGACTTAATTTGGTGCAAGTTTCAAATAGGAAAAGTAAGAGAGAATATAAAAAGAATTTGGTGGAAAACCTATAATTTATATTATGGAGAAACCCAAATGCAGGGGAGTATTTCTTCCTCCTATCTTTTTGCCTGCATGAAGATTGCTTTTGGCGTAAGATATTCTAGGCTTCTTTCAAAAAGGAGAAAGAAACCCATCTTTTGCTGTTTTACACTTAGATCAAAAGAAGTTTCTCACTTTTTCCAAAACAGAGCTTATTGTATAACCTGTGTTTTTCTATCCTTTTTCCCCTGAAATTCTGTTTTGTTTTGAGTTTTCTTCTTGATGTTCATATGAATTTTCTCAATTCTTCAACTTCTAGGCTCATTTAAATACATCAGAGGGGCCATGCTGGGGCAATCTGAGAGCCCATGTAATCCAGCTTCTGGTCCTGCAGTAACCAACTAGCAGTCTATAGGAAATTGAGCAGAAAGGCATGAGCCCTCCCTGAATATATCTAATCACCTTTTAGTGCCATTCAAGCTAGCAGCCATCATCCCATTTTGGGGCAATGAATTCCACAGTTTGTCTTTTTTTATTAATCAATAAATGAATAAAGCAGGCCCAAACATTGCAGCCTTTTCTCACAGGTGAGCAACTCCAGTCTCTTTGGCTTCACTTTTTCAGTTCCACAATGTACTTTTTTTAACGTGACGAGCAGAACTGTACTTTATATTCCAGATGTGACATACCATAGATTTGAATAAGGGCAGTATAAAATTGGCAGGTTTATATCCATTTTTCTCCATAACCTTTCTATATTTTTTTTTACTTCAGTCAAATATATGTAGGATTGTGATATGCAAGTTAACAATACTGACTGGAGTATGACAGGGTGTATTCTTTATTTAGCCCATTAAATAAGCAGATATAAAAACACATCTGCAGGTAGGCAAAATTGATAATGCCTGCCAGCCTTGAGCTTTCCTACTATTGAGAAACAGTTCCAATGTCTTTGAACCCATTGTACTCATTGATCTGTTTCAGGCATTGGGCTGGTTTTAAAATGGAAGCAATTTTGTGACTGCCCAACTGAGCTACACACAGATGGCCAAAGAGTTAGATAAGCTACCTCAGACTACTAGCTGGATTGCTCATGACAGAATACTCTGCCATGTAAGAAACACTTGCCCTTCATATAGATACAAGCATGCCAGAAGAAAGGTTAGGTACCCTTTTTGTATGCAGGGTGTCTGCAAGGTGATAACAGTAACATCATGTAATTCTCCACCTACAACTTGAAGTGGTATGATCCTAATGAAGGTCTCCCACTTCAGGGAGAAAAAGGTTAAGAAAAGGAAAACTTGTCATGATTAAAAAAACATTTTTTTAAATGTTATGGTTCCATAAAATTTAAATAAAAGAAATATTGTGGCTAATACAACAATCGCTGCAATTGCAACTAGGTTATACAGCATCAACATGGTCTAGTAGTTAAAGTATTGGACAGGAACTTGAGTGAGCTCATGTCCAATGGTTTCCACTGAGCCATGAAACTCACTGGATGATCATGGGCCAGGCAGTCCTTCAGCCTGATCCACTGCACAGAGTTGTGGTGAGGATAAAGTATGGAAGAATACACTGCCTTGCAGTCCCTGGAGAAAAGGAAGGATGTGAATGGAACAACTTTTTCTTTTTTAAAAAAAGTTGTGTTTCCATTATAAATAACTGAACTTTTAAGAGAACTGATACTTTGAGGGATCTGTTACCATCAAAGCAGAAAATGCATACAGGAAAAATGAAGGGAAGTAGAGTTTACTACTACAATTTATTCTAGACAATGTCTACAGATTCTTTTCCTTGAGAGTAGTCTAACTGTAGAACACAGTGAGAAAAATTTCAGGCTGACACATTGAAAATGGTTTTTGTCAAGCCCAGCAATTCACTGTGTGCCTTCCATTACACTTCTCACAGTATGGCAAAAGAGTTATTTCCAACGAGGCTTAGGTAGAGCAGCTTTCAGGTCAAATTAAGCAACGGCTGAAATCCATTAGTAAATTGCAGCTAGAAAAGGCCCATTGACTCAATGGGGATATGGCAAGTCCATTCCTCCATACATTCCACTCATTCAGTGGGTCTCCTCTACTTTAGACTTATTACTGGATTTCAGTCAATGCATATTCTCAATGATTAACCCATTTCCCCTCCCATAACAGGATTTTCCAAGAGATACACGCTTCAGGAATCAGACTTGCAAATGAAGCCTGTGTCTACTTTCCAGCCACTAATCACAAAAACCACATTAAATGCAAGACAGATAGCTGAGTTAAAACACATGTCAGAACAGATACATTCTACCACTTGAGGAAGCACATCTGCTTAAAACATGATACACATATTGGCTAACAGAGCAAATGAAAGGGACAGCTCTAGCATTTTATTTCCACAGCACTGCCTGCAATTTTCTGACTCGGAAACTGCCCTTATCTGACTCGTCCCTACCATTTAGGGATGGAGATTTTCTGGGATATCCCAATGCCAAAGCCCATCTTTCAGAAACCCCAAGCTGAGCTCCTGCTTTTCAGTATCACCATATATCTGACCGCTTAAGCACTTGCCCTCTCTCTTGACACACTATCCAGTGCTTCCCAACCTTGGGTCCCCAAATGTTCTTGGACTACAACTCCCAGAAATCCTGAGCAGCACAGCTAGTGGCAACGGCATTAGTCCAAGAACATCTGGGGGGCCAAGGCTGGGAACCACTGGTATAGACAAACAAGTGAGTACCAACAGTGAGGATGAGAGCCTGCTGATTTCATCTTCAGATTTCTCCTTGACTTACAACCAAGAGCAACGGAGAGGCAAGACAAAGCCTAGTGAAAGGGGAAAGACTATGGTGAGAGTATCTTTCCTGAGGACTCCATTCATCCATACAGTGAATGTCAGTGGGGTGGCAGGGCTGCAACGAGGCTTAGACACTGCACATATTTTTAGAATCCCATGTTTGCGACTATTTCTATAATTTTCATTTTGTAACACATTTTCTCATACCCCCCATAATTTGACATATTTCAATGCTGAATTATGGGATTAAATTGAGATGTGTGATTAGGTGATGAGGAGCTCAGAGTTAAAGAACTGCTGTTCCCTCTTTTAAAAAAGTACTGTAATTAAAGGGTATATAACCCAGATCTTCTGGACTACATTCCTCAATCAGTGGACTTGCTGGCTGAGGCAAATGGGAATTGTAGCCCAAAACATGTGGAAAGCAACTGGCCGATACACTATATCTAACAGCTTCAGACCTACAGGCATCTAGATTTATTATGTCTGTTCTATGTGGTCCAGACATCTCTGTCACTCAGCACAACCATTTATCTATCTTACTGAACATTGCAGAACATATATTCAGCATGACGGTATACTCCTGACTCTTGCACAGATAGCTGGTTTAAATAGCTTGGAAGTCATCACTGCTCTTATGAATTTCACGAAAACAGACTATTATCTTCAGAAATGCATTTCCTGAATTCTGATAAACTCCCAGTGTTATCAGAAGTTAATGCATCAAACAATATCAATATAATGTGAACATCCTGGGGGTTAAATGGCTCAATTCTTCTCTCGGAAGGGCTGGAGTCCTACAGCATGCTCAAACAGCACTCAAGCCCATCTTCTTTCTCCCTGGAGTTTTTGTGGAGTCAGCAACACCCGCTATTTACTGTGGGAATCATTCCTGAACTTAGGCACTGAAAGTGATATAGCCCTCCTATATATAGACCAATTCTCAGTTAAACCTTCATTTTTAGTACTCATAAATAACATTTTCAAGTATTCTTAAAAACTCAAACAAGGAACTGAGATGTTAAACTTTATGAAAAACTATGCATCTGCAAGCTGTTAGAAGTGGATCTCTATGAAACATGTTTAATAAAACTATCTCTTGATTCCTGCAAGCCAACAACAGTCACATCTGGAATCAATTATACAGATAGCACTAAAATAAAGTATACGGCTATGTAACAAGTTGGGGAAAAAAGGAAATCAAGTAAGGAGACTACAACAACAGCACGCCATACAGCTAGCTTGTTGTTTGCTCCAGTTTACCTTCTTGTGAAAGGACAATGAACTTGGATGATTTGATGACTTTTCCATCCAGAGTCCAGGTGACAACAGCAGCAGGATCTGATGAAACCTGACATTGCAAGACTAATTTTTCACCTTCTACTACTCGGGTATCTTGTAGCATTTCTGTAAAGGATGGTGGTGTTCCCTTAGGTTCCGTTTTGTTGCCCTTTACCGTTTCTTCAATTAACTGTCCATCCACCACTGGGAGGCAACCTCCTTGACAATTGAGGTCATTCTTCTGCTCTTTCTTCCCCAGGTTGTCATGTGGCACTTCAGAGTTGGTGCTGGCCATCTGGGTTTCAGAATTACTGCCTGCATTCTGGAGTTTAGATCTGGAGCCGGCATTCTGAGCTTCCAAGTTAGTGCTCACATTCTGAGGTTTAGATCTGGAGCTCTCGTTCTTGGCTTCTGAAATAGTGCTTGTATCAGGTGTTTTAGTGCTGGAGCTCTTGGAGTCCAACTTGGACCCTGGTGGATTCTTAGAATTGGCTCCAACATCTGATGCTTTGGAGAGGGTGCTGAGTTTCTGCACCTCTGAGCTGGCGTTGGCATTCTGAGTTTGGGCACCAGGGCCTCCATTCTCAGTTGGAGCTTTCTTCTTTGCACCAAGCACAGATCTGAAATCAGGGGCAGCTGGCTTAGGGGCTGGTGCTTTCTCTGACAAAGGAGGTTTAGAGGCGCCCTTTTTAGCCAACACAGCCCGGAAGTCCACTTGTTGGGGAGCATGGACTTTTCTTTCCTCTTCTGACAAGGTCTTGGGCTTGACCTGCCGCTGCAGGTTAGCACGGAAGTCCATTTGTTCAGCTGGAATTTCCTTCAGCTCCTCCTCAGAAACACTTTTAGTGTTGACTTTCTTGGCCAAAATGTCACGGAAGTCAATCTGTTCCACCTCTTGTTGCCTAAGCTTCTCCTCTGTACTCTCTCGAGTTTCTACTCGCCTTTTAAGCACCCCACGGACGTCCTCCTGTTCTTCTTCAACTTGCAGATCTTCGCTAGTATTCCTTCTGAAGCCACCAGAGCTTCCAAATGTCAGTGCATCGTGATCACCAGCATCTCTTCGTTCTGCCTGCCTCCCACTGCAAGCAGAGAAGGGATGGGTGTTGAGGAGGGGGAAGGGGAGGGAGAAGAGAAAGACAGTGAGCAAAGAGTTGGTTTAAAATATGCAGGAACCACCTCAGAGCTAGAACAAAACATGTTTATAGAAAGGAAGGTTGATTAGGAGAACATGCTCCATTTGCTTATTGCATCAGTGATGACTTCAGGAACCAAATAAGGGCACCAGAATAAAAAACAAAAAAAGTTCCACACTGGCATGATAGTGTTTGCTTCAGCTGTATGATGAAAAAAAAACTTTGTTGAGTCACATTTGGAGAATAGGTTGAATATCAGCCAACCCCAGTCTAGAAGGGAAGAGAATTAGCAGAGCAAAAAATAGAACCCACCCATGTAAGTCCCTGGGAACTGTACTCACTCGCTGTGTATTTCTCCTCTGGAAACTGAACTTTCTCTCAGCATCAAAGACACCTGACAGCTGCATTCTCCAACTTGGTTCCTAAAAAAAAGATAAAACAAATCCACAATCTGTATGGAAAACTGCTCTCTCTCTCTCTCCTTCTCCCTCCTCCCCACTCCACCTCTGTGAGAAACAGAAGAGCCTACAAAAAAGAGCCACCCTCTTGCTAAGCTTAATTGTTGCCTCACCCAGCCCGGTATTCCAGTAGAGAGCTACTTTCAGTATCATTGGCTAAAAAGGAACTACATTCCGCAATCCAAACTTTTCACCCGTTTTTTATGGAGTTCATTGACATTTGTAAAAGGCACACAGAAACACAGCTAGTCAGGGCGGCAGGGTGGATGGGTGGGAGAGGACACCTCCAAACAAGCAGCTTGGAAGAAAATAAATATCAGAAGCTGAAAAACCCCAGCAGAGGAAAAGAAATATTTTTCCAAATGTTTAACATCTCTCCAACCCTTGTCCCAGTATTTGTTTATGCAACAGCAAGCTTTTAACTTTCTTAAAATGAAAGCATTCAAAGCAGGGGCCTTTGCTTTCCCTTGCCTGCCCCTTCTTTCCCTTCCTCACCAAACACAGCCATCAATACACATGGATTGTTTCAGCCTCTGCATGTTTATATTAAAAAAAAAAATTAAAAAAATTAGAAGTGTCACCATATATGGTGCTGAGCACTTATTCTTCCTTTTGCAGAGGAATGCCAGAGATGCCTGCTGGAAATGACTCCCATTAAATAAGTCATTAAAATACTTTCCCCCTCCCCCGCATAACATGTTATGCTTCACAGCAGATACATTTTCGAATGTATCCTCTCCCCCAAGAGATGGCAAAAAGGGGTTGGGGGGGGGGAGAGAAAAAGGAAAAGGAAAAAGGAAAGGAAAAGGAAGGAAGGGGGGGGGAAGAGAGAAACAGTGCAGATTTAATATTTTCAAGCAACTGTATAAACACTGCTACTGCATTCTAAGGGGTTCTTCATTTAATAAAAAGATGGATTGATGCCTTGCCAAGTGTAGAAGAAGAGGGAGATACTTTATCAGATGGCAGATTTCCAAGGGTTCCCCAGCAGAAGCCCAAAGCTTCTGGACCAGAAGTTTATATATATACGCATATGAGAATGTGTTCGTGTGTTTGTACACATCGTCCTAAAATAACTGATATTCTATAAGAGGCATCTTGGCTACATCTTTACTGTATTCTGAACAACAGAAGATGATAAAAGGGAAAACCTTTTGCCGTTTTCAATTCTTTGGCTATTCATCCTGTTAAACACCCATTTTGTATTTATAGAGAGATTAACTACATGCTTCCAGGCTCTAGAAAAATGTATTTGTAGTTATGCTTGATGCTCCCAAAAGCCAACCTCCAGCCCATTAGCTGTGGGTCCGATGGCAATTTTATATATATTTTAATTGTATTTTAAATGTTGAATTTTTATTGTATTTTAAATGTTGTAAGCCACCCAGAGACCTTTGGGTAGTGTGGGCGGCATATAAATAAAATAAAATAAAATAAAATAAATAAACCTTAGAACTTCAGAGCTGGAAGGGATCCTACGGATCATCAAGTCCAGCCTTTGTCATGGAGGCACAATGGGGAATCAAACTCCCAACCTCTGGTTCACAGCCAAGATACCTAAATTACTGAGCTACATATGAACATGTTGCAGCCAGCACAGTGTTAGAAGAAGCATTCCCTCCAGAAAGGAAGGGGGGAATGCTTCTCCCATGAAGGTACTAAGTTTCCTTACCTTTTTTAAAAAGCTATTGAATTAAATGAAATACACTTCCTCTAAGAAAAATATGTTTTGATGATGCATCTAATGAATCAACTAAATTAGCAAAATGCAAACCGAGAGCCACATCTAGCCCTCTAAGTCTGTTAGTGTGGCTTCCAAAGCCCCTCCTGGACCTTCTTGCTGCTCTGCAGCTGTCAAGAGTCCACCACTGCTGAAGAGAGAAAAAAGCAGCAAAATGTGTCTGTTTGGGAGGCAGACAGACCTTATGGCCCATATGTGGGCCTGGAAAAAAGATCATACAGTATACCTATTTCAGTGAAGATGTGACATTGGAGTTTTCCATGCAAGTGGATAATTAGTTGTACCTAGACCATATTTTGGCAAATGCTAGATTTTATTTAAAACAACAGCCTCTAATTTGCTTTTTGATTCAAATGTAAACTTTCTTCTATCCATTATCACATCTCATTCATACTCAACATCCTCAAGGACAACTAGTTACTTTTCTCTCTTAATATGAAGAAAGCATGCAGGTTAACACCTTTTCCTAGAAAGCTTAGTCCATGTGTTACAGATGCTGTGCTTGTATGAAAAAAAAAATCAGTGAGCATTTACCAAATCTGGATATTCAGACAACAGGTTCTTAAAAGCTAGAAATTTGTTGCAAGCAGTTTGAAAACTTTCTTTTAAGAAAAATGACTATAATAACAACGTGAAGCCACCCACAATGGAACAGTAATAGGATGATATTCTGGGCTCACTGTTCATTTAGCTTGGAAGTAACTTTCCAAGTTCTGATGGCAAGATATGCAAAACAGTGGCATTATTCTCAAGATCCTCATAAATCTATTCTCATTTAATCCTTAATGGATTAAAACAATCTGTCAGTCCTTAATAGTTATATAGGTTTTAATACCAATTTTAGCATCTCTCCTTACCACAACAAAAAAATTTAGCCTCCAAATACTGGTGAAGTGCAGATACCAGATTTGCTGTGTGAATCTCTGCCTTCACCCATAAGAGCTGCCTTGCCCTCATTTGGCGAGAAAGGAGTCCACTTCTGCCCTGAGGTTACTTCAAATGTAAACCTGAGATGCAACATCTGCAATGGCTGAATCTTTTGCTACAAGTCCCCGAAAAAACTGACACCAAGACATGCCCTTACTGTATAAAGCTTAAGTGAAGCTCTACTAGAAAACCAAGAACAGAGGATAATAAAATGTAAGAAGTGACCACAAGGCTGCAACAGACACACAACTTCCTGATTACCCTACCATTGACTTTTCAAGTGGTTTCACGGATAGGATCAGAAGTGCAATCCTTTTTAAAAATTCTTCTCTGACCAAATGAAAACTGAAAAGGTATCACATGAGCCTTTTTGTTTAAAAGTGTCCCAGGCCCTCAAAAGCCATGGAGGTTAAATAAAATCAAAAGCACTAGCCGAATAAGGCAATACATCTAAGCGCAGTAAATAGCATGTAATGATATTATCAGTACGGAGTTGTACAAGTACATTTATTAAGACCATACCAGGGAATATGGTTTTATATTTGTTCAGACTTGCCTGGAGGAAGAAAAAAATTAAATAAAATATCATTTAAAAATAAAAAAAGAACAGCAACTGCTAGTTAAAAAGTACTAGTGGATTGTTGGTATAACCCAGAGTCAGAAATCTTCAACAACGGCAATGCCAAAAAGCTGTACACCACTTGGAAAACAATTACGAAGTTGGAAAACACTATAGATCAGGAATTATAAATCAGATGAGAAACATTGAAAATAAAGAAGAATGAATATTAGGGCTTACTGAAGATAGCCATTACTTAACCAATGATGGGATGATGCTCTGGATCCCAGAGCATCATCCTACCACAGCACCATAATGGATGGCTTCAGCATATGATTGTACTTGCTGTTCTTTAGCAAAAGTAATTTTCAAAGCACTGTGTTGTATTTGTACACTCCTATCATCTCAACAAATGGCTAACATGAGGCTTCACCTTCTATGTTGACTCCACCCTCCAAGCCAGTGGTTCCCAAACGTTCTTGGACTTCAACTCCCAGAAATCCTGGCCAGCACAGCTAGCGATGAAACCTACTGGGAATTTTAGTACAAGAACATTTGGGGACCTCAAGGTAGGGAACCACTGCTAAGCCATTCTTCTGTCCAGGGATTTGTTGCTGAATGTCTGAGTGAGGGGGGGAAAGGAAAAAAAAGCCATCTAAAATAATATACCTCCCCGCCCCCTCTTCAGGATTTGGAGCTCCAGATCTTCTTACAACCAGATAAATTATTCTACTGAGTTCCAAAAAAGGTTTCAGAGGTTTTTGAGTCCCTGAGAAATTTATAGCAAGCTCCTCAAATTGAGCTGAATTTTGCACTGTTTGAATTTTTACTTGGGGGTGAGACAGGAAAAGGAACTACAGTACTTGGAAATTTCATAGCCCATTATATGCCACTGCACCCAGTTGATTATGCAGTTGCACACTGGATTTTTGGGCTTGAACCATAAAATGAATCCCTGAGTCTATATAGATAAGAAGACTTCTAATTCCAGAACTGAGACCACTTTTCATTGTATTACAAAACAGAGGCTGGTTTCAAAGAGGGATTAATGAAGAAATAAAAGAAACTATTTTTCTTTTTGCCATTGTTTCCAGGTCTTAAAAGTAAATGTAAGAAATGAATTGCTGTTTTTATCAAGCGTACTATGTGAAAGAGACAGAAACGGAAGACCTATTCTTTCAAGATCTTTCTCGTCCACTTCTAATAATAACCAAGGATTAGACTGATAATTCTCTAGAACTTTTAGTAATCGTCTGTTCCGTAAAGCTGAAAAATAACAGCACAAATGTGGAGACCCATATGGTACCTGTTTGGAACTAATTCAAATTATATTTCAAACCATTTCTCAAGCAGTGAATCTCCCTTTTATATTCTGGAAAATTACCACATGCAGAATGGCCCTTCAACCACTTTTTGGCAAAAACTTCCTCTCCCAAAGACTTTTCAGGTAGTGTGGGAAAGACGGGGGGGGGGGGGTTTCCTCATTTCTTCCCTGTTTCTTTTTTTGTCATATGTGACAAAACAGCTCCAGGAGAATTATCCTGATTTGAGAAACGACAGAAGAGGAAAGGAGGAAGCAGCTTCTTTTCTTCACTTTGCTTGCTTCTGGGAGAGAGGGAATGAAAACATGGAAACCGAAAGTGCCGTTTGAACCTTAAAAACCATTAAAAGCAGGGAAATTAAGAGGCTACCAATACCCTAAAACAGCAACTTCTTGCGACAGAGTACCACACATTCAACAGTGGCTGATTTAGATACTGACATGAAATACACCTGTCAATCATCCCAAGTCCCAATGTTAGGAAATGCCCATTGCTAACTGGAGAAATTGGATAGTAATGTGGAAAATACACATGTGTGATTAACTATTAAATGTTTTTTCCTGATCCTGTTTAAGGCTACACATCTAATTATGTAGTAGCACCATAAATATAGGGAGACTAATATGTACTACTCATGCATGTGACCTACCTGAGTTGTATTTCATACTGGCCAGCATGGCGGGGTTGCACATTCCTTATAATCAGTGTGAAGATGTCCTCATTCTGCAGGAATTCACAGCCTGCTCCTGGCGTCACTTCCTGCCCATCTTTGAACCAATGAACAGCAGGGAAAGGATCTCCAGCAATGGCACAGGAAATAAGGACATTCTGTCCAGCTACTGCTATCACTGATTTGGGTTTGCTAATGAACCATGGCTGAATGCCATCCTGGGGTTCTGTAGAACAAAACAATAAATAATAAGGGAATAGAAAACTTAACATAATAGGTAAGTAACTAAGTCTGAAGTTACAAGCTTAGTCCTCATACTTATTTATGACAGTTTATTTCTCTGGAGGTTTAAAAAAAAGATTGGACAGCCATCTGTCCAGGATGGTACAAGGTCCAGGATGGTATGAGGTCTCCTCCCTTGGGCAGGAGGTTGGACTAGAAGATCTCCAAGGTCCCTTCCAACCCTACGATGATTCTCAATAGTATTTGCAATGTCTAGTATTCACGCTCACCAAATCACACGCAAATTTTACATCGGTTTATGCTCTCCCCCACCCCGCAATGTGAGCTAGAGGGGAAAAAAGCAAGAAGTACTCTCCTCTGTCAACCAAGGCAGAAAGTTTTCACAGGACTACACCTTCGAAATCTGCAATGGAGACTGGGGTAGCAATTTTAACTTTAGCAGTATTAAACCTTGATGGGTCTCTACATCAAAGGGCATTTGGCCTATTTTCAGCAGTGGCCTTCTAGGAGCTTTCTTTCAATCACTTAACATGACCACTCCTCCAAAGAAGTAATGGACCCAGGCCAGTTATTACTGTATTATTACAGACACTCAGACTTCACTATAAGATGAACTGAACAATTGGTGGAAAAATGATAGGTACCTGGGTGTTTGATTTTATAATTGTTCTATATAACACACATACTTAGGGCTTACAACAGGAATGGAAGAGAGTGGCACAAATGTAAGGTATCAAGCTGAAGGATGTGAACACTGAGCCAAATTTAGTAGTTCCTTGAACATATAGTTTCTGCAATATACTAGGCCAAAATGTAACAAAACAAAGTTTAACATTTAAGCCCCCTCTCTCTGCTTCCTTCCCCTTCCTCTCTTGCTCTCTGTTCCTGGGGTGTTAACAACAACTGGGTTTTGATTGTTTCTTTCCCCTTTCCCATTTGATGTCATTAATTGTAGATGAAAATCAAAAGAACACAACTTTAATTTGCTAGGTTTTGCCATTCTGCTTGAGACACACAACTCGGCAACTGCAAGAGTGATCTGAAGGGCTGGCACAGAAGGCATATATGTTTTGGGCAGCCTCCCATCCAGATAGTAGCTATTTTGTACTGGAAAAGCTTCCAACTGCAGCAGAACAATAGGCCCAGGTGGTGAACTGTGCATATATCTTGCTCAGACAAAAAAGGGGGAAAGAATTATGGAGACCTCAAGTTAAAAAAGGGGCGGGGGAACCCTTCACCTTCTTTAACTCAAAGGAGTTAAAATATATATAACCCCTCTGAGTGATATATAGAGAGGATATGCAATGTGGTATAGTAGATAGAATGAGGAACTAAGACTCTGGAGAACAGGGCTCGAATCTCTGCTCCGCCATGGAAACTAACTGGGGGTGTGGAACTGGTAAAATCTCTCCTTAAATATCTCACTTACCATGAAAGCCATGTTAGGGTCGCTATAACTCAGTTCTGACTTGATGACACAGAGCACGCACATATACAGAGTTCATTATTTTCAAATTTGTGAAGGAAGTGGGATTAAACCAGTTACCCCTAAGGAATCACACACACACTTTTCTCATTATGCACCTGAAGGTCTCCTTCCTCTCTCCTGCAAATGGTACCTCCCTAGTTCTGCTCTCTCTCAGGCAAGAAAGAGGAAACCAGCTGCTGGCCACAATCACAGAGATGGTCTGAACTTGATCTGACTTGGCGGGTGAAACAGACTGAAGGGACAGAATGTGTCTTCACAACATAATGTGAAAGGAGGTGAAGCCACATTCATTTTGGTGTCTAGCATGAATTTGAGCATAATTAATTAGCATTTTAGTAGAAATATATGGAATTCATTGACATTCTGTCCTCTGCTCAGAATGGTTAGAGAATATGTGTACAAAAAGATTGGCATTTGAATTACTTTTCATCTTTAGAATTCCCTAAGCATCAATCCATACATTTCAAGATCTCAGTACTGTTAATCCTAAAACATTTGCTCCATTTTCAATAGGTATATGGAAAAACATTATTTAAAGTGCTTCAGAAATTACACAGTGGCACACGAAGTTCCAAATTATAAAACAGAACCAGGACTGGCCCTCCCATTAAGCAGAGCGAGGCGCATGACTCAGGTGGTACAGCATGATGGGTGGCAATTTGTGTGCTGCCTAGCTTTGAGGGGTCCTCCAAGCAAGATATTGTGAACAGGGTATCCCAGAGCTTTTTAAAAGCAGATTTTACAAATTGCATAAATGCCTTGTTAGATCCCATCTCATGGACAGCCAAGCTCAAATCTTCAGGCTGAGCAATTGCTTCAGTGCCTGCTGAGTACAGCTGTATGTTCCCACATTCCCCATCTTTCTTTCTAATTGTCTGTGAAGCACACAACTCAGTTGGTGGCTTAAAATGGCCCATTTCGCACCGTGCCCTATAGAGCTTGCTGAGTTTCAGGACTGATGACAGTGAAGAGGAGGAGGTTCTGACCAAGCAGAAATTGTTGTTTCAATATGGTTTGGGCCATTTGATGTAAGCATGGACACCAAGCACGTCCTGGTCTATACAGAAAGTGTGTTTCATGACACTATCTGTTTAAGTTCTTAATAAACAGATACACACAACCTGTCATTTTCCCCTGTTTTTCCAACTGCAGATTTTGTGTCCAGCTGCACATAAGCACAAAACCTTTAGAGAAACTACATGTGCCATGCATCTAGGACATAATACTCTATATTGGATAGAGTAAACCTTAGAAAAGAGATTCATCTTCCAGAGGAAATTTCTTTAAGAATCAAAGGGGTAGTTTTCTTTGCAAATACTAAGTACTATTAATCAACTATTGATATGTTTCTAGTAATAAAAAATGCCAGAAGAACGTACATTTTTGAACAATTTCCTAGAAGTCCAGATAGCTAGAAAGAAGATCTACATAATGTATATGTGAGCTCTGAATTCAAGTGGCATTCAAAAGAACTAGTATACTGCATATACACCTGTTCAGAGTACACGAATGTATTCACTGGAAAATCCAATTACTGACAGACTGGGATTTCCTAACTATCATATAATTAACTAGTTATTAATTTATTGGCAAAAATCCTGTTGTGTTTTTACATGCCCTAATGCAACTGGTGTAAATCTCAGTGGTGAACTGGTGTAAGTTATGAAGGTAGCATAGGTATTTGCTGATTTGTGCTATGTTGCACCATTTTGAGCACAACAGTGACTGCTTCCTCTAGCTTCTTAACCCGCAGCAAGAGATTTATGCTAATCACTTTATGACAGTGGGCATATTTGATCAGACTCTGACCGTTGATGGCTATTTTCCGAAACACTGAAGTCCACAATTTATATCTTATGCACTTTATGCCAATTTAACCCTACATAAATAGGCACTCCTGTTTGAAGTCCAGACACTTTTAAGAATCATCATTCTCCCCTATACCTGTGTTCATTTAAAAACATAACAACTGTTCGATAATTTTACATTTGACCTCTGAAATTCAGTGTGTGGGCAGGTAATCCCACAGTCCTAGCAGGAGTATACATCCTGTACCCACTGGCTTCATTTCAAAGTATTTCCAGATGTGATCTGAACTTTCCCCAGCAGCTCACTAAGTGGGGAGAGGAAGATGGAGAAAGGAGATGGTAGAGAAAGAGAAAGCAAGACAAAGAAAGAAGCGTACCACGAGAGAGGCAGAGACAGAGGAAGAATGAAAGACTTGATCCACCAGTTATCTGTGGTCCCTGACAGACCTATCTCCAAGAGAATTCAGTCCTAGACAAAGAAATAAAATCTTCCCGAATCTAAATAGTGTCCCCACCCTTGATCTCAGATGCAGTGGTACTTCCGTTTCAGAATTTAATGCGTTATGTGGGACGTTTCATATTGCAAAAATTTGTTAAACTGAAACGTGGTTTCCCATAGGAATGCATGCACGGGGGCAGCACTATAAACCTCCCAGGCGCAATGCATCCTGGAAAAATGTGCTTAGTATCGCGAAAAAAAATCATAGGTATTATTTTCAATGGATTTTCCTTCATAAACTGAAAATTATCTTAACTGAGGCGTTCGTAAACTGAGATACGCCTGTATCTGTATCCTGAAGGGGTAGAAGACAAAGCAATCTCTGACTGATTTAAACATAAGGAACATCCATGTGGACTACCTCTTCACTCCTACCTTAGGTTATATTCTTTGCAACAGGCTGCTTCCCTCCAATTACCTTATAAACCTTGAGTTCTTTTTAAGGAAAAAGGTGGGAAACAAACAAACAAATCCAAACTTCTATCCATCCATCCTTCCATCCTTCCATCCTTTTGGCTTCTTATTCCCTTCTGATCCTGTAGCAGGGTCTAGTCTGGTTTGGTTTGACTGTCTGCATCTTTCTGTCCACAAAGATTCTTAGTAACCTCTCACTATACTTTGTCTGGCTCAGCTACACTTCTCCTTCGGTTTAGGTCCTTCTCACTTATACCAATATTAAGGTCTCCCCACCCCCTCAAGTGCTGGTTCAATAAGCAATTTTTAGAACTTTAACTTTGAGCCGGGCCCTGACCAAATCCTATCAATCACAGTGAGCACAGACACATCAGGTCACTATTGTAATAATTTGAAATGTGGGGGGGGGGACGGACGAAAAGGGGTTAAACTTTCAAAATAAGCAGGGAGGTGGGGGTGGGGGTAAGGAGTCGATGTTCTCTTTCTTCCCAGGCTTATTTAAAAATTAGAAGGCAATCCTCACATTTCCTCCCGTGAGACAAATAAATGTTATGCCCATGAGCATGTACATCTTTCTGCATGAAGAGATGGCAAGAGCTCTAGGGATATCAGCAAAGTCCCCTTATGCCAGGCTTATTAAAAGGACGATTTCAAGGAAAAGGAAAGGAAAGCTTTTTTAAAGCCTCCCTCTTCCCCTCCCACTGGGATTGGGGGATTTCTTCTTCTCTGCCTGACAAATGGTTTGCATCAGGAGACAAGAGGCTCTGCAGCTTTGGCAGCTGAATTGGATCTCAGGTCAGCTGCCAAAGCCCCCGCTGGCTTCTTAAAAAGCATCCCTATGCACTGACACAAGAGCTAGATGACAGGAGTGAAACTAGGTGGGGAAAAAAAAGCACCCACTGGGGATGTCCTGCAAAGAGGCTGGCCTCTCTTCCTTCCCCTCCCATAAGACCTGATGCAGTCATTTTTAACGACAAGGTCATTTTTCTGAGCTTGGGAAAAACCAACCAGCATGCTTTCAATTTCCTGCTTCAAGAATGTGAGTAGTTTCTGAGTTACACCAAAGGATATTTGGAAAGTGTACCCATCAATAATGAACCCAGTGTTTGACATTCTATAGAATTCTGGGAAGATGAATTGCAGTCTATAAGCACTTCCCTTCTTACGACCTGCATTTATCTCTTCTTTTTGATGGGCTGCATTTATCAAAAACATGTGAGAACATCCAAACTAAGCTACAGCAAATACAACTTGAGTATCAAAGGTGCCTAGATTAGCACTGTTTTAATAAAAGAGCTAAAGAATTCTTACCTAGAGTACTCCATTTTACTCCTTTCCATAGGCAGTCTATAACTCGCAAATACTGTACTGTTTTGCTTACTGAAAAACCGATGCATTTTGATCACATTCCATAAAAAACAACCACCTTCCTAGACTTCTGGCATTTGTGTAGAAGGACACCCGCAACTTTTTCAAAATAATTAATGGTGATTTAACACTCCATTATCCCTTTCCTCATCCATAAATCACAGTAGATTTTTGCTGCATCAGGACCGATACCCTTGGGAAACTGCTATACAAGATGAACCTAAAAGATAGTTTCAATTCTGGTTTTCTCTTTGAAATGGATTATTTTATGTTTCTATAAATATGTCACATCATGCAGATTATTAATTTACTTTTTCATTTTTACCTTGCACAGTCAGTGTTGCTTCAGTCTGAATTTCTCCTAAGTCATTCCAGGCCTCACAGGTGTACTTTCCAGTATCCTCTGGGAACACCTCCTGGATATATAGGCTATATTCATTGCCCTTCTTCTCAAAGTGAAAATCCTCTGTTTCCTGGATTTCTTTCCCATTGTGCAGCCAAATGACCTCAGGAGGTGGGTTAGCTGAGCCACAACAAAACACAAGCATTTGAGATAAACCATAAGAAGTAACGGAAGCATGTGGGCTATTCTACTAGGCCAACTGCAACCCTAAGATAAGGAGGAACAAGCAACTCACTTAGACTTCCTGTTGCCTTAGATGGTTTTTGTTTTGTTTTGCTCTCAAGCAAACCTCCTCTAAGCTAGATGCAGGCACAAATTCCACTGAGGGAATGTCTGCATGTTGGCAAATTTTATGAATGTACTGTTGGCTTTGGTCACCTACCGTCCATGTGCTGGTGGACTGTTATCTTTATGCTTCCTCCTGAATGACCATAATGTGCTCTAGAGCAATTTGATTATGGACCAACTTCCATGTTCGCCATCTTCCATATATTCAGAGATAGTGACCACTGTGACCTTCCTCTCTTTTCGGTTTCCTCTCTATGGAACTCTTTCATTTTAGCCCATTGTAGTCCCACTGTAGTTGGCTGTATAGCTCAGTGAATCTGATACCTGTCTGCAGAGTTAAGAGGTTGATAGTTTGATTCCCCAATGTGCCTCCTAGAGGAAGAGCCAGTCTGCACAGCCTTAGGCATGTTTCATAGCCTAACACCGAGGGAGGTCCATAAGGAAAGAACAAGGAACAGGGTCTTCTTGGCAGTGCCCCCCCCCGCCTTTGGAACAACTTGCCAGTGGAGATCCATCTGGCTCCCTCTCTGGGTGTTTTCAGGAATAAACTTAAAACCTGGCTATATGGGCAGGGTTTCCCTCTTGCTCTATCTTAATTTTGTATACTTTCGCCACTTTGGATCTATAATATATGTTTTTGGTTTTACTGTTTTTAAATATGTAAAGAATCCAGAGTAGACCTTTGGTCTAGATGGGTGGGATAGAAATAAAATCAGATCAGATCAGATCAGATCAAATCAATCAATCAATCAATCAATTAATGTCACAGAGTGCTCCCAGAAGAAGAGTATGGTAAAGAGTTGCCATACATCAGGATTGACTTGATGTCACATAATTAGTCTCATCAACAATCCCTCTAATTCTCAGCTCTGCCCCTCACACCCATGGCTCCACTCCTCCCATGTGGGGTTCTGTCCAAAGGGGCTAGAAACTATTCCTGTGGGTGTGCAGTGGAAGGCCCCTGCACAGAGGGGGGTGGGGCCATCCACACTCCTGCAGCCACGCAGCTTAGAGGGAACCTTGAATCCCACTGATTTCCATTCTTCTGGATTCCCACATGCCTCCCCAAAAAATATCACTAATTCTAGATTCCTAAGCATACCATGGCTGAAACTGCCAGAAGTTATCCTAGGTAAGTCTGATCATACCATCAATTGCAGTAATATTTCAGAATAATAATAAAAAAATACTGATCCCCTTCCTGCAAAGGTCCTAAGATCCTCCTGGGATCCCTTTTGCTCTAGGGAAACAATAGGGGCCATGAGATGGTGGTGGTGGTATGTCTTTAATTTCTGAAAATTGCCACCAGTATAAGTTACTGAATAGGATTTCGGACAGTATATGAAGATTTCACATGGGGATTTGTTTATTATCTCCTTTTGTTCCATTTCAAATGGCTTATAATTGTCTTAAAATGTTTGGCTTCTATAAATATGAACAGATTTCTGTAGATTTCTATGTGGTACTTCCTCTGCCACTCACTGGCCTTAAAATATAGCACATATGGCAGATAATGCCCCGATACAATTAGAATTAGAATCCCAACTACAACTACGCAAATGTATCACCTAAAAAGGACCTGTCATCTGCCCTATTCTTAAGTCTGAAGACAGACAGAAGCAAATATGCTTAAAGTAAGCAAATTTCATGGGAAAAGCCAAGATATATTCTAGCCGATAAGAGTCTGTTCAAATACTGACTTTCCAAATTTAAGCCAATTAAAACTAAAAACCTGACCATGCAGAAGAAGCTAGAAATTAGGGACCAGAAAGGAAACTGCTTAGTTAGAGAAGCTCTATTGAAAAGAGTTTTCTTTTCCATCCTATCAGAAGAGGAATAAAAAGAGACAGGAAAATAATGTGGGTGAATGACTGGCTAGGAAGGTGGTGGTGATGTCACAGAGTTGGTTTTTGGGACCATGGGCTTCATGGAAGCTTAGCAAGAGACAGCTCACATCAAACAAGGACTGGGAAGAATGTGTTTGCCCACAGCATTAAGAACTTCATCAGGAGGGCTTTAAACTGAATCGGAAGGGGGGGGGTGATATGCAAGCTCAGAGGTGAAGATAGAGGAAGGCTTATGTACAATAAAAGGAACAGATCAGGCAGCTCTAATGGTGTCAAATAACAGTCTTCATAAAAGTGTATAAAGGAAAGTAGGCTACAAATCACATTAACTCCAGTGTACCAGGAGTATGGGAAACAAACAAGAACTGGAAATCTCAGTTCAAGAGGTAAATGTGACTTGATATAAATGGTTAAAAAACCCCAGGAAGAATAAAAAGGGATGTGTGTCACAGTATATGTCAAAAATACACATTCCTGCAAAGAAATACAGGAGGATGAGCTTGGTTATCCCATCGAGAGTGTCTGGATTGATATTACTGGGGCAGGGGAAAACATGGAAGTCTACTACTGACTGCCCAATTATGGGGAAGATGCAGATAAAACCTTTGAAAAACAAATTGCAAGAATTTCAAAAAGACACTTAGGGGGGAAAACCCCAAAATGTATAGTTACAAGATGAGGACACTTGGCTCAGCAATACTATGAGCAAGAAATATCTTGGAATTATTGTAGAGCACATGCTTAATATGAGACAAAAGTGCAAATGTGGCTGCAAAAAAGGTAAATGGTATTTTAGGCTGCATTAACAGAAGTCTTCGAATCCAGTAAAGTACCACTTCCCGTCTATTTGGCATTGGTTAGACCCCATTCAAATACTTTGCCCCATTCTGCACATGGCGCTTAAAGATGGATGCTGACAATTGGAAGAAATTGAGAGGACAGCAACAAGGATTATCAAGGAATCAGGAAACCAAGCCCGGTGAAGAAAGACTGAAAGAAATGGATATGTTTAACCTTGGGGAAAGAAGATAGTATAGCACTTTTCAAATACAGTGGAACCTCGACTTACGAACGTCCCTACCTGCAAACGATTCAAGTTACGAACGGCTCCAGTCACAAAAAGTTGCTTCAACTTGCGAACGGAGCCTCGACTTACGAACCGAAAAAAAGAAAAAACTTTCCTGCCCTTTTTTTGACCTAAGTTCACCTTAGTTCAAAAGAAGAAGAAAAAATCACCCCCTAGTGGTAGAGTACGGATTAACCGGCTTTGCATTAGTTCCTATGGGAACTAATGCCTCTACCTATGAACAGCGCCTCGACCTGCAAACAGAAAACAGCAGATACAGATTAAATGGTTTCCAATGCATTCCAATGGGAAAGTTTGCCTCAATGTACAAACTTAATTCCAATTATGGGTTAAATTTGTAAGTCGAGGTACCACTGTATTTGAAATATTGTCATAGAGAGAAGTTGCAGGATCTATTTGCAGTCATCCATGAATACAGGACACATAATAATGGGCTCATGTTATAGAAAGCCAGATTTTGCTTGAATATCAGGAAAAACCTCTCAACTGTTACAGCAGTATGACAAAGGAACCAATTACCTCAGGAAGTGCTCCAACACTGGAGGCATTTTAGAGAAAATCAGACAACCAGTTAGTCAGGTATCCTTTAGTTGGATTCCTGCATTGAGGAGGCTGGACGCAATACACTTATAGACCTCTTCCAACTCCCTTATTCTATGATTCTATGAAAATATTTAGTAAACATTGAAACCCACCTGAGACTTCGACTGTCATGATCACTTGGCTGCCATCCATCACCTTGAGATCAGTTAAGCCTTTAAGGAAGACAGGAGGGAACGTTTTCTTGGCTAATACAGGATGGGTACTTTCCAATTTATGTCTGCTTCTTTTTTCTACATGAATCAAGAACACAACAGATTCTCATTAGAACATCTTTAAAGAATCCAACTGCTTAAAAATAATTTCTTAAATTGCACTGTTGATCAAAAGTTAGGTGGAAAGATAAGGAATGGATACAATATGAGTTAAACTAGATGGTGTATACATAGAAAGAGAGTTCAGTGCACACAAAGAAAGGTGCATTTATTTATACAAGATTATTTTAAACAGTTTTGGATGCCTTTATTTTTTGCTTTAAACATAAACAAGGTCTTCGAGACACAGGCAGGTGATACCTTTACAGTATCAAACCACTAAAAATCCCTACAAACATAACCTAGCTTTTGATTTTGTATTAGTCTGAACATTATGGAACTGGGTTGGTGCAGAGGAAGCACAAAAGTTCCAAAACCTCTTGCCAGATGGGCAGGTTTTGCTTTTTGCTTGTTTCTTGTTTAAAGCTCATTCCAAACTGAGGGCTGCAGAAGACACAGCAGATTTTACCTTTGGCAGTGGGCTTGGAATGTCACTCCCAATCTTCTTAGAAAGAAGGCAGCTAGTCACTCCTCTCTCCCCACTTTCAATACTATCAGATACTTAGGAAATTTGAGTCTAGGTCCACAGGTCAGAAATCTGAACAAAATCTATCTATAATAGTACACACCTGTATAAGACATGTACAGTGCTGCCTCGACTTATGTACCTCCTTACTTAGAACCATTTTGAGTTATGACCAGCTCTGGCCGCAAAATATTGCTTCGACTTGTGGCCGGAGCTTCCAGTTACGATCAAAAAAAGGCAGGGAATTCAAATTGCTAATGGTTGGTGGCGAAGAGGCTGCTTCTTTGTAGCTGTTTTGCCCCAGCGGTTAGAGCAGTGGTCGGAGAACAGGGGTAAATTACCCCAAATGGGGTAAAAGTAAAAATCTTGGGGGTAACGAGCAGAGCGTTAATTTTGCAATTTTTTTCTAAACAAAAAAGTCTGTGCTTAGCTCTTGATTAGTGAGATAATCTTGAAGGCATTAGGCTACTCTGTCTCCAAGACCTAAGTAATGATAGAAGAAGAATTTGAGATAAAAGCCACCTGGGGAATCTCTTTGAAATGATTGGTCCTAAGGCCTACTCACAGAGTAGAAGTAAAATAGAGTTTACCGGAGATGACTGCAAGCAAGCAGGAGGAGGGAAAGAATCAAGTTAACGAGGAACGGAGGGAAGGAAGGTGGGAAAGGGCTTCATCAAGCTTATTTAAATGTATGTACAAAATGTATGGAGAATATGGACGGATGGATGGATGGAGGGTGGGTGGGTGTATATGTGTGTGTGTGAGAGAGTGTGAGTGTGTGTGAGAGAGAGACTGACTCAAAACTATGAAAAAGAACAGGCAAGCAAAACAGAAGGCTTGAATTGAGGTGGGGGAGGAGGGTGGCTTTTTAAGATGCTTCAGTACATACCCTGGCAGCCATTGATACTGATGATATATCCTGCTAGTATGGTACACAGCCTGTGTAGATTCAATAAGATTTTGAATAAAATAATGTATGATTTCCTTCCTTTCAAATCAGGGGGGTAATGTTGGCGTATATAAATTTTTAGGGGATAAAAGGTTAAAAAGTCCCCTGACCCCTGGGTTAGTGTGAGTGCAATTGGAGGAGGCTTCGGACTGCCTGGTAAGGTAAGGTGCTGCTTTCTGCTTTTTAAAAACTGTTCTGGGTGGGTTTTGCAGGGTGGGTTTGGGCTGGGGGGG